CAACAAATTTCACATGTATCCCCAAAACCTAAAAAATTTTTTGTTTTTTTGTTTTTGTTTTTGAGACGGAGTCTCACCCTGTCACCCAGGCTGGAGAGCAGTGGCGCAATCTCGGTTCACTGCAAGCTCCGCCTCCCGGGTTCACGCCATTCTCCTGCCTCAGCCTCCCGAGTAGCTGGGACTACAGGTGCCCAACACCACACCTGGCTAATTTTTTTGTGTGTGTTTTTAGTAGAGACGGGGTTTCACCATGTTAACCAGGATGGTCTCGATCTCCCGACCTTGTGATCTGCCTGCCTCGGCCTCCCAAAGTGCTGGGATTATAGGTGTGAGCCGCCGTGCCCGGCCTAAAACCTAAAATTAAAGTTAAAAAGGAAAGGCCAGGCGCAGTGGCTCACGCATGTAATCCCAGCACTTTGGGAGGCTGAGGCAGGTGGATCACCTAAGGTCAGGAGTTTGAGACCAGCCTGGCCAACATGGTGAAACCCCATCTCTACTAAAATTACAAAAAGTAGCTGGATTTGGTGGTGGGTGCCTGTAATCCCAGCTCCTTGGGAGGCTGAGGCAGGAGAATTGCTTGAACGAGAGAAGCATAGATTTCAGTGAGCAGAGATCACGCCACTGCCCTCCAGGCTGGGCAACAGAGCGAGACTCTGTCTCAAGAAAGAAAAACAAAAAGAAAACATGCCCACACAAAAACTTGTACACAACGCTCATAGCAGCATCATTCATAATAGCCAAAAAAATAGATGTAACCCAATGTCCATCAGCTCATGAATTGACATGTAAAATGTGATATAGCAAAACAATGGAATGTTATTTAGCAATAAAAAGAAAGTGCAGGCCTGGCATGGTGGCTCACGCCAGTAATCCCAGCACTTTGGGAGGCCGAGGCAGATGGATCACCCAAGGTCAGGCGTATCACCTAAGGTCAGTTGTTCGAGACCAGCCTGGCTAACATGACGAAACCCCGTCTCTACTAAAAATACAGAAATTAGCCAGGCGTGGTGGCGGGCGCTTATAGTCCCAGCTACTTGGGAGGCAGGAGAAACACTTGAACCCGGGAGGCGGAGGTTGCTGTGAGCCAACATCGTGCCATTGCACTCCAGCCTCAGCGACAGAGTGAGACTCCGTCTCATTTAAAAAAAAAAAAAAAAAAAGTATAGACTACATAAATCTAAAGAGAAAGTAAATTAATATTTGCCTGGGAGTAGGGTGGCCATGTACCATGTATTTAAAATGTGCAACTCATTGGTTTTTAGTATATTCAGAGTTGTGCAACCATCAGCACAATTTTAGAACATTTTCATCACCTGGCAAAAAAAACAAAACAAGACAAAAACCCATATTCATTAATAGTCACTGTCCTTTCTCTTCCAACCCTTCCCCACCCAGCTTTCTATGGATTTGGCTATTCTGCATATTTCATGTAAATGGAAACACAATATGTGGTCTTCCATGACTGCGGCTTCTTTCACTTAGCATAATGTTTTCAAGGTTCATCCATGTCATAGCGTGTCTCAGTACTTCATTTCTTTCTACTGTCAAGTAACATTCCACTGTATGGATAATATCACACTATATGCATTCATACAGTTTCTCTACCTCCTTCCCAACTCTTGTCTCTTTTTTATTATAGGTGTGAAGTGGTGTCTTCAGTGGTTTTGACTTGCATTTCCCAATGGCTAATGATACGGAGCATCTTGTCATGTGCTTGGTGGTCATTTATATGTCTTCCTTGGAGAAGTATCTATTCAGATCATTTTTGTATGTGGGCTGAGGTAGGGAACCAGATTCATTCTTTTACATGTGGATATTCAGTTGTCCCAGTACCATTTGTTGAAAAGATTATTCTTTCCCCACTAATTTGTCTTGATGCCCTTGTTGAAAATTAGTCAGCCATTTCTGGTCTCTCAGTTCTATTCCATTGAACTGGATGTCTTTGCTTATGCCGGTACCACACCATCTTGATTACTGTAGCTTTCTTTTTTTTTTAAGTTAAAAAATGTATAAAGTGAAGGGGAGCTTAGGCTCGTCTGGACCCCTGGCTACAAGTGATCCTCCCGCCTCAGCCTCCCAAAGTGCTAGGATTACAGGCGTGAGCCTCTGGGGCCTGGCCACAATTGATTTTTGTTTATTGATCTTGTATCTGCAACTTTGCTGTGAGTTCTAACCTTGTTCTTAGTCCTAATAGTTGTTTAGTGGATTTCTTAGGGTTTTCTATATACAAGGTCATGTCATCTGCAAATAGAAATAGTTGTCCTTCTTCCTTTCCAATCTGGATGCCTTTTATTTCATCTTATTGCCTCATTGCCCTGGCAAGAGCCTCCAGAACAATGTTAACTAGAAATGACAAGGGCCCATCCCCATCTTGTTCCTGATTGAGGGGAAAGCTTTTAGTCTTTCACCTTTAAGTCTGATGTTCGTTGTGGGTTTTTCATAGATGCCCTTCATCAGGTTGAGGAGGTTCCCCTCTATTCCTAGTTTGTATGTTATTATACTTTTAAATAACAGCAACAGAGCCTGTAAGAAGATATGAATAAATACATGGAGAAAGGTTCGCAGTTCATTAAGTGCAGGGAAGAGTTTGCTCCATTCAGTGTGAATCTGATCTCTGAGTAGGAGGATGTGTTAGTTGAACAACTATTTAAAAAAAAAAAAAAATAGAGGTTGAGGCGGGTGGATTACGAGGTCAGGAGTTCGAGACCAGCCTGGCCAAGATGGTGAAACCCCATCTTTACTAAAAATAAAAAATATTAGCCAGGTGAGGTGGCAGGTACCTGTAATCCCAGCTACTCTGGAGACTGAGGCAGGAGGATTGCTTGAACCCAGGAGGCAGAGCTTGCAGTGAGCAGAGATTGTGCCACTGCACTCTAGCCTGGGTGACAGAGCAAGACTCCATCTCAAAAGATAAATAAATAAAAAATAAAAATAGAGACAGGGTCTTGCTATATTGTCCAGGCTTATCTCGAGCTCCTGGACTCAAACCATCCTCCTACCTTCACCTCCTAAAGTGCTGGCATTACAGGTGTGAGTCACTGCACCCAGCCTGAACAAACTTTGTAAGATGCAAGCTATTGTACAAAATTTTAGCACCCTAAAAATACCTCCCCTTATTTTATCAAATATACTTGTATCTTTAGGCATATGTCTATTTTCACCTAGTTATAACTTACACTTTTGATTATTTTTGGTTGTCTTTTTACTCTTGTTCTAATTATCTTCTTTTTTTTTTTTTTTTTTTGAGATGGAGTCTTGCTCTGTCTCCAGGCTGGAGTGCAGTGGTGTGATCTCGGCCCACTGCAACCTCCACCTCCCAGGTTCAAGTGATTCTCCTGCCTCAGCCTCCTGAGTAACTGGGACTACAGGCGACCACCACCACGCCCAGCTAATTTTTGTATTTTCAGTAGAGACAGGGTTTCACCATGTTGGCCAGGATGGTCTCGATCTCTTGACCTCGTGATCTGCCTGCCTCGGCCTCCCAAAGTGCTGGTATTACAGGCATGAGCCACCACACCCGGCCCTAATTATCTTTTATTGTACAGAAGCATTTTATTTTCATCAGAGTACATTAATCTTGATTGAGATATTTTATAGTAGTTAATTTCTCTTCCCATGCTTGCTGGGCGTGATGGCTCATGCCTGTAATCCCAGCACTTTGGGAGACCGAGGCAGGCGGATCACCTGAGGTCAGGAGTTTGATACCAGTCTGGCCAACATGGTGAAACCCCGTCTCTACTAAAAATACAAAAATTAGCCAGATGTAGTGACACACGCCTGTAGTCTCAGCTACTCAGGAGGCTGAGGCAGGAGAATTGCTTGAACCGGGGAGGCAGAGATTGCAGTGAGCCAAGATCGCACCACTGCACTCCAGCCTGGGTGACAGGGCAAGACTCCATCTCAAAAAAAAAAAAAAAAAAAAAAAATTCTCTTCCCACTATAAGAAAGTGTTTTATGACTTGGAAAGTGTCTTCATATAAAATCTTATTTGAATCTCCCAAAATATAGCAGAGATGATTCCCATTTTACGGATTAAAATATGGATACCAGAAATGTTTGAATCATTTGTCAGGATATGGGCAGCAGAGCAGGGGCTAAGAGTATGCTGTCTTTTTAAGGCATTTAATATTGACGCCTTGACTCCTTGACTTGGTCGAACATATGGCATTCAAACATATCATTAGGGTGGAGGAGAATCTGAGGATAGCTTGCCACTGTATTCATTTCTTATGGCTGCCATAACAAGTTACTGCAAACTGGGTGGCTTAAGACAAGAGAAATTTATTCCATCACAGTTCTAGGGGCCATAATTCCAAAATCAAGATGTCAGCTTGGTTGCAAAGACAAGGGATTGGTTGCTTCTTGGAGGCTTAGAAAGGGCTGTTACTCCCTGAATCTCTCCCGGCTGGTTGGGTGGCTGCTGGCCGTCCTTGGCATCCCTTGGCTTGCAGCTGTCCAAGTTCAGTCTCTGCTTCTATCTGCACCTGGCTGTGTGTCTGGATTAAGGGCATACCCTATTCCACTATGACCTCATCTTAGTGATATCTTAAATACTTCTGCAAAGATCCTAATTCCAAACAAGGTTACATTACAGGTACCACAGTTAGGACTACAAGGTATCTTTTTATTATTATTATCTTTTAAAGAGATAGGGTGTCACGTTGTGTAGGCTGGAGCACAGTGGCACAATCATAGCTCACTGCAGCCTCGACCCCCTAGGCCCTAGCAATCCACTCACCTCAGCTTCTCGAATAGCTGGGACTGCAGATACGTGCCACTATACTGGGGCAAGTTTTTAATTTTTTTTTTAAAAAACGGGATCTACTATGTTGCCCAGGCTGGTCTCAAACTCCTGGCCTCAAGCAATCCTCCCACCTTGGCCTCCCAAAGTGCTGGGATTATAATGTTAGCCTCCAGGCCTAATGTATCATTAGAGGAGGTACAGTTCAGCCCACAGCAGCCACTAACAGAGTTTTCTTCTGTCCTCACTCCCCCACCAGGCGCCCCTGTAGACAATGGCCCTCGTGTCTGCCGATTCCCGCATTGCAGAACTTCTCACGGAGCTCCATCAGCTGATCAAGCAAACCCAGGTAAAAAGTCGCCATTCTCCATTTCCAGATGGGAACACAGGCTTTGATGCTGAGCTGTGAAGTGGGGGTAGCGTTTGTGTTCAGAGAGATTGGACACGCAGGAACCAAAATGATGTAACAAAGGTGAGAGGAAGGGAATTTGGGGTATGGCTACCATTCCTGTTGGATTTTCTACATGTACAGGATTTCATGATTCATTTTGTTTGACAGCTATCCTGAGATAGAATTCACATGCCATACAATGCACCCATTGAAAGTGTATAATCCAGTGGTTTTTCGCAACTCACAAAGTTGTGCAACCATTACCACAATCAATTTCAGAACATTTTTGGCACCCAACAAAAATGCCCCATATCTTTCCTTATACCCTATTAATTCAGGCAAACAAAAACACTCTTTTTCTTTTTTGAAACGGAGTCTCACTGTGTCATCTAGGTTGGAGTGCAGTGGTGTGAGCTCGGCTCACTGCAAGCTCCGCCTCCTGGGTTCAAGCGATTCTCCTGCCTCAGTCTCCCTAGTAGCTGGGATTATAGGCACACACCACCATGTCTGGCTCATTGTTTTTGTATTTTCAGTAGAGATGGGGTTTTGCCATGTTGGCTGTCTCTACTAAAAATACAAAAATTATGTGGACATGGTGGCGGATGCCTATAATCCCAGCTACTCAGAAGGCTGAGGCACGAGAATCACTTGAACCTGGGAGGTGGAAGTTGCAATAGCACCACTGCACTCCAGCCTGGTCGACAAAGCAAGACTCTGTCTCAAAAACAAAAAAAAGCCATTTTTCCCCTATTTGATATCTTTTCTTTCACAGATACAAGGGAGATGCGTATTGGTGCCTATAGCTCACTTGGGCTATCAGCATGCCCCACCATATTTTGCCCACGATAATCAGGGTTTATAGCTACACAGGGATCAGCTTGCTGGCAGTTGTGCACCACACAGCCAGGAAGGAGTAGATCCCAGAAATTCCTTCCCAAAAGATACCCTTTTTAGGCGTAACCTAGAGAGTAAAAGTCAGAAGATGCCGGCACTCATTGCTAAGTGAAAGATGCCAGTCTGAAAGGTTACGTGCTGTCTATTCCAACTGTAAACAAAAAGCAAAACTAGAGAGAGTGAAAGGATGAGCGACAGCCAGGGCCTTGGGAGAGACAGGATGAAAGGGATGGATAGGTGGAGCACAGAGGATTTTAGGGGGTGGAACTCTTCTGCATGGTACCGTGATGGTGGGCACACAACATGATGCGTTGTCCAAACCCATAGAACTACAGAACACATGGAGTTAACCATCATGGGGATGGATGTAGTTAATTATCTAACAGTATCGGCTCATAAGTTGTAGCAAACGCTCCACACTAGTGCAAGATGTTAACAATAGGGGAGACTGTACAAGGCAGAGCAGGTATACATACGGGAGCTCTGTGCTATCAGCTCAGCTTTTCTGTAAACCAAAACTGCTCTAAGGAAGAGTTTATTAATAAAATGAATTGTAAAATAAAGGAAAAAAGGGCCAGGCGTGGTAGCTCATGCCTGTAATCCCAGCATGTTGGGAAGCTGAGGCGGGTGGATCACCTGAGGTCAGGAGTTCAAGACCAGCCTGGTGAACATGGCAAAACTCCATCTCTACTAAAAATTAGCCGGATGTGGTGGTATATGCTTGTAATCCCAGCTACTAGGGAGGCTGAGGCAGGAGAATCACTTGAACCTGGGAGGTGGAGGTTGCAGTGAGCCAAGATCGCACCACTGCACTCCAGTCTGGGCAACAAGAGTGGAACTCCATCTAAAAAAAATAAATAAATAAAGGAAAAAAAGAGATACTGGCAGATTGCACATTCCATTCAGTCATCCACAGTTAGACCAGTTTATCATCATCCCGTACAACCAGGGTGTACCTCAGACAGCCGCTGCCGAGTTCCCAGACTCCCATCTCACCCATCAGCTTCCAAAAGCAGGCGTGGTCCTGACAGACACAGGGCTTCGCCCTTTCAGGCACCCGGTGTAACTGACCTCTCTCTGAGCCTCTCTTAAGGTATTTCCCTCATCGCATAACCCATTTAATTTGTTCTGTTAACTTGGCTACTATTTCTCCTCTCCATTTGTGATTGGTTTTCACCCAAACTTTTCCACCTTTGGAAGGGATGTTAGCTTTGGCCACTGTACCTGGTCCAGATTGCAGTGGCAGCAGTACTAGTCTAGCACGTGTCCCCGCTGACCCCAATCCATTCCCATTTGTATAGGGTGGGGCCACACAGGTATAGACTATCGGCTGTCTGGAGCACTAGGCAGCTATGTTCACTGTTAACCTCATTTTGCAGGTTGTGGTAAAGGCACCACCCACCCGTCAGGCACTTAAAAATTCTCACACGAAGGCTAAAAAGCATAGTCATAATTTCTTGCTTAGGAACTATATCAGTTTCCAGCATCTTCAGTCACAGCTCTGCTCCCAGGACCACTGATATGGGAGGAATTGCACCAGTGTTCTTCCCCACTCCTTCTTCCCCACATCAGTTGATCCTACCTGTATGTGTCAATTTCTGGACTCCGGATTCTGTTCTGTTGATCTATATGCCAGTACCACACCATCGTGATTACCATTGCTTCATAGTAAATTTTGAAATTGGGAAATGTGAGTTCTCCAACTTTTTTTTTTTTCCCCCCCAAGATTGGGGATAATCTGGGTCCCATGAATTTCCATATGAATGTTTGGATGAACTTGTCAATTTCTGCAAAGAAGTCAGCTAGAATTTTGATGGGGATTGAATTGACTGTATAGATTGATTTTGTCTCTTTGATAAAGGTATATTGTTAAAGATATCACTTATGATTTAACTTTAATGCCCTCTTTTTTTTTTTTTTAAACAGAGTCTCACTCTGTCACCCAGGCTGGAGTGCAGTGACACAATCTCAGCTCACTGCAACCTCCACCTCCCAGATTCAAGCAATTCTCCCACCTCCACCTCCCACATTCAAGCAATTCTCCCACCTCAACCTCCCGAGTAGCTGGGACTATACACACATGCTACAATGCCCAGCTAATTTTTGTATTTTTAGTAGACGCGGGGTTTCACCATGTTGGCCAGGCTGGTCTTGAACTCCTGACTTCAAGTGATTTGCCCACCTTGGCCTCCCAAAGTGCTGGGATTACAGGCTTGAGCCACTGCACCAGGCCCTTTAATGTCTTTTGTGATGCTTTTGCATTAGTCAAAGGAGAAAATCATCTTGAACTCCTGAATTTGGATTTAGAAAATCAGGTCCATGGCCGGGCACCCTTGCCTGTAATCCCAGCACTTTGGGAAACCAAGGCAGGTAGATCACGAGGTCAGGAGTTCAAGACCAGCCTGGCCAAGGTGGTGAAACCCTGTCTCTACTAAAAATACAAAAAATTAGGCCGGGTGTGGTGTCTCACGCCTGTAATCCTAGCACTTTGGGAGGCAAGGTGGGCAGATCACGAGGTCAGGAGATGGAGACCATCCTGGCTAACATGGTGAAACACCTCTCTACTAAAAACACAAAAAATTAGCCAGGCGTTGTGGCGGGCGCCTGTAGTCCCAGCTACTCGGGAGGCTGAGGTAGGAGAATGGCGTGAACCCGGGAGGCGGAGCTTGCAGTGAGCCGAGATTGTGCCACTGCACTTCAACCTGGGCGACAGAGCGAGACTCCGTCTCAAAAAAAAAAAAAAAAAAAAAAAAAAAAAATTAGCCAGGTGTGGTGCTGCGTGCCTGTAATCCCAGCTACTCAGGAGGCTGAGGCAGAGGTTGCAGTGAGCCGAGATCACGCCACTGCACTCCAGCCTAGGCAACAGAGCAAGACTCCATCTCAAAAAAAAAAAAGAAAATGAGGGCCATGTTTTGGGGATGGGGACTCTGGCCTGGCTCGCAGGGTGCCACAGCAGCACAAAGGGCCACTGTCATGTCCTGCTGCTCTTTTCCTTACAGGAAGAGCGTTCGCGGAGCGAACACAACTTAGTGAACATCCAGAAGACCCATGAGCGGATGCAGACAGAGAACAAGAGTGAGTAGCTGGGCTCAGGAGAGAAAGGGGATGAGATGGGGCTGGGGTGGGTATGGCCAAGACTGGGACCAAGGTGGTCATTGTATTCAAAATAGATGTGCATGTATCTGCATATTCCAAAATGCAGCAGGGGGGACAGCTTTCCGTTAATCTGGGTGACCTGAAGAGCTAAAATCCCTCCACCCTGAGGATTCGAAAGGCACTGAAATGAGGCTGTATCTAGGGAACCTTGCCCTTAGAACGCACAAGCACCCCAGTTAGCTGGTGATTTCTAGAAAGGAGCTTTGTTCCCAGGCGGCCCCTGCATATGCCCTGAGGCCCTCAGGTGGTCAGATTCTGGGGCTGGGGCTTTCTTACTCTGGGTAACTCTGAGAATTGTGTTTTCCTGGGTCCTGACAAATCATTTTCTGTGCGTGTCATGATGGGGAAAAGGTAAGACAGTCCTCTCGCAGATGTAGGGATGGCATTTGTAGCATATGGAAATGTGGATTCTTGGAGCCTGGAGGCATCCGTCTAGGGAGCACTCCTGAGCCAGCAGAGCTCTGACTGAAGCTACGGCCTCTCTGTGCCTCCGCGAGTGTGATTCCGGTGCATGGAAGCAGTGCCATGCTACTGTGCCTGCCCTGGCCCCGCATCCTAATCCCTATGTTTCCTCTGCAGTTTCTCCCTATTACCGGACAAAGCTGCGTGGCCTCTACACAACCGCCAAGGCCGATGCAGAGGCTGAGTGCAAGTGAGTACCGTGCTCCCGCTCCCCCGCCGCTCCCTCCTTGCCTCAGGGCTAGGCTGCAGGCACATTTGGACCAAGTCCCCAGCCTGCCTTGCTCCCATGGATAAGCTGATTGCTACTCCCAGCCTCTCCCTTGGGTCCCGCATTTCCTGTCCCACTGCTAGGCCCACTCTTCCAGTTACCTCTGCTGCTAACGCCTTTGCAGAAGGCGGCAAGGCGTGAGTCAACACTGCCATTTACTGGTTCTGTGACCTTGGCAGAGTCATTAAAATAGGGATATCAGGGGCTGGGTAGCTCAGATCTGTAATCAAAGCATTACAGAGGTGATTGGGAGGCCGAGGTTAGAGGATCACTTGAACCCAGGTGTTTGAGACCAGCCTGGGCAACAAAGTGAGACTTCGTCTCTACAAAAAAATGTTTTAATTAGCTGAGCATGGTGGCATGTGTCTGTAAGCTTGGCTGGGAAGTCATGCTCAGATGACCTAAAGGTTTTATGGTTCTGAGATGGAGAAGTTTCACTTCCAGAAAACTGCTGCTTTTAAAATGATCTTAAGGCCGAGTGGGCACGGTGGCTCATGCCTACAATCTCGAGGTGGGCGGATCACCTGAGGTTGGGGGTTTGAGATGAGCCTGGCCAGCATAGCAAAACCCCATCTTTACTAAAAATACAAAAATTAGCAGGCGTGGTGGCGCACGCTACTTGGGAGGCTGAGGCAGGAGAATCCCTTGAATCCAAGAGGTGGAGGTTGCGGTGAGCTAAGATCGTGCCACTGTACTCCAGCCTGGGCAACAGAGGGAGGCTCTGCCTCAAAAAAAAAACTAAAATAAAAAATAAAATGATCTAAAAACATTGTTTCCTTGAATCTCTACAGTGAAACTGTAGTAACTTTAGGAACTTGAACATTACATTCCTGTCCTTTGAGAACACACTGGTTCTCAAGTTTGACTGTGCCCAGAGGCGCTGTTTATTTGGGGGGGAACTCCAACATTGGTATTAACTATCTGACATTTCCTCACTAGGAGGATTCAGGCTTTTTACACTTTTGGCACAGAAGAGATATCTCTGGTGGATCATATTAGGCGGCATAGGATACTGTCTGTCCCATTAGTTAAAGTGGTATCTTCCACGTTTCTCTTATATCAGATTACTGCCGTTTTCCATTGTGTGATTGATTGATTGATTGATTGATTGATTGATTGATTAAGACAGGGTCTCACTCTGTCGTCCAGGCTGGAGTGGAGTGGCATGATCATGGCTCACTGCAGCCTCAAACTGCTGGGCTCAAGTGATCCTCCTGCCTCAGCCTCCTGAGTAGCTTGGACTATAGGCGCATGCCACGACGCCACCTAATTTTTGTATTTTTTGTAGAGATGGGGTTTCGCCATGTTGCCCAGGCTGGTCTTGAACTCCTCAGTTCAAGCATTCCACCCACCTCGGCCTCCCAAAGTGCTGGGATTACAGGTGTGAGCCTCTGCACCTGGCCTCCATTGCATAATTAGTAAGTGTCATGTAGGGAGATACTTGGAGACTGTAACTATCCCGTTTATATCAAACACACTAGTTTTAGCATCCATTTGTGATTTGTGCATGAAACAATTGAGATTTTTTAAAGTTCCCCCAGGAGATTTTGATGCCCACCAAGGTTTGAAAGCCACTTCAGTAACACGTCACAGAAGACAATTTAGGACAGGCTGCATAAAACTATGTCCTCCAAACAGGCCTGGCAGCAGTGATGAGACTCTCAGAGTTCCCTTTGGTCCCATGGCTCTTGCTCCTTCTCTACTTTCTGGGGTCCCAGTGCTCACAGCCTGAGGTGACACTGGCTGGGCCATCCCTGCATCGTACGCAGCAGGCAAGCTGTTTCCTGTCCCTGCGTTTTTTTGGCTGCCCTTGGCCTACCTCCATCTTTTGGCCCTGGCCTGGTGACGTCCATGAGTCCCATGCCCTGGGGCACCCCCGGACACCTCCTGAGATGCTGCATCGTGCCCAGTTCCTATGCATCTCCCTCCTGCCGCACAAAGGTCTTTAGAACTCTGGGTCATTTCAGAAGCGCTTGCCAGAGGAATGGACCAGGGTTTGCCATGGTATCCGGGGAGAATAAAATGACCCAAAGTTGAGTTTGTGAATAAAATGACCCAAAGTGGAGTTTGTGCTGCTGACTGCTGTGGAAATATTCTTATTTTTTTAATGGAGTTTTGCTGTGTCACCCAGGCTAGAGTGCAGTGGCACGATCTCGGCTCACTGCAAGCTCTGCCCCCAAGGTTCAAGCGATTCTCTTGCCTCAGCCTCCCAAGTAGCTGGGATTACAGATGCCTGCCACCATGCCGGGCTAATTTTTGTATTTTTAGTAGAGAACGAGTTTTGCTATGTTGGCCAGGCTGGTCTCGAGCTCCTGACCTCAAGTGATCCCCCTGCCTCAGCCTCCTAAAGTGCTGGGATTACAGGCATGAGCCACCGCACCCAGCCCTGCTGTGGAAATACTCTTTGGGAAGATTCCCTGAGATTTAGGATGAAGAAGCCTGACTTCAGCAAAGCTCTGTGTTTGCTTCTGCTGGGTTCCTTGGGTTCCTGCCACCCTGGAATCCCCATAAACTTCACAGAGGCTTCCTGGGGATGCAAGGCCACGCAGGGGTCTGTCTTTGGGTGCAACCTTTCAGAAAGGATGAGTTCCTTCCACCCAGTACTGCTCTGAGCCAGCACCTCTCCCCAGAGTCTCCCCTCCTTTTGCGTGACCTGGGGCAGACCTGAGGCCCCCCGCCTCATTTCAGGAGGTTCTGGCAGCCTTTCTGCAGGGTTTGCCGAAGGCCGCTTGCCTGTCTCCTTTCCTCTCTGGGATCCTGTATTCTCTTAGTTTTTGGCCTGCTGCTTTCTACTACCTTATTTTTTATGTTCTTAAGACTAAAAAACACATACTGAAGATTTCTAGTGTTCTTTTTTTTTTTTTTTCCTGAGATGGAGTTTCGTTCTTTTTTGCCCAGGTTGGAGTGCAATGACATGATCTCGGCTCACTGTAACCTCTGCCTCCCAGGTTCAAGCGATTCTCCTGCCTCAGCCTCCCAAGTAGGTGGGAATACAGTTACAGATGCTCGCCACCACGCCTGGCTAATTTTTGTATTTTTAGTACAGATGGATTTTTGCCATGTTGGTCAGGCTGGTCTTGAACTCCTGACCTCAGGTGATCCACCCTCCTCGGCCTCCCAAAGTGCTAGGATTACAGGCGTGAGCCACCACACCCAGGCAGATTTCTAGTTTTCACCAGTGAGGTTGGTCTGAATAACCCAGCCCGCCTTGACCAGAACAGGAAACTGCACACACCTGTCATTCCACCTGCGCAGGAGGGACTGCTGGAGCCTGGGACCAGCCTGGGCAATGTAGGGAGACCCAAAACAGAAAAAATGGAAATGAAGTCTATGCTATGTGTGTCAACCAAACCCTCTTTCTCCCTTCTCCCCGCCCTCAGCATCCTTCGGAAAGCTCTGGACAAGATCGCGGAAATCAAGTCTCTGTTGGAGGAGAGGCGGATTGGTGAGTGGGAGACGACGTGCTGGGAGGTCCTTTGCTAGGACAAGGGAGGCCCTTCGGGCAGCAGTCACCCTCCCGTGGGGACCTGCAGCCACTGCCTGCTGGGATCCTCCCACGGAGGCTCTGCCACTGAGAAGGGACAGGAGATCATTCCCAGCGCCCAGAGGCAAGGGTTTCCCAGTTCTCCCTCAGCAGCTAGGGATCATCCCACCGCAGCCCCTCATCACCTGCCCCTTCTGGGGCCTGGACGAGTCACCCTCTCCTTCCTGCCATGGCCCACGCCCATCTCTTGTCCTGGCTGGTTTCTGCAGAGCCACACACTGTGTGTCGTAAAGCCAGCCTTCCAGACCCCTTCAGCCTGCATTAGGCTCTCCTACCCTTCTGCCCTCCCAACAGTCTCACGGTGGGCAGAATCTTGGCACGTCAACGTCCCCACACAGCCATGCTGGTTCTGTGTGAAGTCAAGTGGGGTGTCCAGCCGTGCCTGAGGAGGTTGAAGGTGCACATTTAATTGTTGTGGCTTTTTTTTTTTTTTTTGAGACAGAGTCTTGCTCTGTCGCCCAGGCTGGAATGCAGTGGCTGGATCTCAACTCACTGCAAGCTCCGCCTCCCGGGTTCACGCCATTCTCCTGCCTCCGCCTCCCGAGTAGCTGGGACTACAGGCACCCGCCACCACGCCCGGCTAGTTTTTTTGTATTTTTTAGTAGAGATGGGGTTTTACCATGTTAACCAGGATGGTCTTGATCTCCTGACCTTGTGATCCGCCCATCTCGGCCTCCCAAAGTGCTGGGATTACAGACTTGAGCCACCGCGCCCGGCCTGTTGTGTTCTTTTTAACTTTCTATTGAATTACAACGTATATTAATAGGAGAAAAGTACATGTAAGTGCAGAGTTCAATGAAATATTCACTAACTGAACATACTTCTGTAACCAGCATTCAGATCAGCAAACACAGCCTGAACAGCACCTCGGAAACCGCTTTCTTTCTTCTTCCTCCCCATGGGTGCGCGCTGTGCTGCCCTCTCACTCAACTGTGGTTCAGCGCAGCAGCCCCTATAGGTGTTGACACGTGGCCGATCGGGTCACAGTCCTGCTGGGCCCTCGGGCTCACTCAGGAACTGGGCGCTCCCAGGGGGTCCTCCAACAGCTCAGTGCAGCATGCTGGGGGGTCAGGGCTAGCACCTGTCCCTGGGGCCTCAGGCCTCCCTTCCTTCCCACAGCGGCTACCTGTCCCTGGGGCCTCAGGCCTCCTTCCTTCCCACATGTGCCAAGATCGCAGGTCTCTACAATGACTCGGAGCCACCGAAGACCATGCGCAGGGGGGTGCTGATGCACCCTGCTGCAGCAGTCGGCTGCCATGACTCCTGCCCCTGTGGATCGAAGCCCGTGACAAGTGAGGCAGCAGCTGCGAGGAGGGCTGGTGCCCAGGGGCTGGGACTGACCTTGTCTGGCTCACAGGCCCCCACCTCTGTGGGCCATCCTCGCCTTTAGACTACGTGGCCAGACCTGGAGACAAGGTGGCTGCCCGGGTGAAGGCCGTGGATGGGGACGAGCAGTGGATCCTGGCGAGGTGGTCAGTTACAGCCATGCCACCAACAAGTGAGAGTGACACTAACCCCCGGGGCTGCTTTCTGGTCACCGAACTTGCTCTGGCCGCTCTGCTTCCCGTCTGCACAGCAGGAGAAAAGCTCCCCAGAGGGTGCTCCCCAGAGGCCAACTGTGCAAGGAGCACTAGGTCCTCCCCATCCTCACTCCCCGACAGGGACTGCACCCTGGCTGCATCCAGCATTTCTTGTCCACAGGTATGAGGTAGACGATAATGATGAAGAAGGCAAAGAGTGAGTGTCTAGGCCAGGGCAGGGCACAGAGCCTGGGGCAGCCTAACGGCTGGGAAGGAGCATCCCCCACCTGGCCACATGTTGATATAAGCCTCTTCTCCCAGGAGACACACTCTGAGCCGGCGCCGTGTCATCCTGGCACTGCCCCAGTGAAGGCCAACCCAGAGAGATGTGACCCCGAGGCCTTGTTTCCAGAAGGAGCAGCTCAGGCTGGCCTTTATATCCCCAGACCACCTTGCTTCTACCTCGTGCCCTGATCCACGCACCCCACAGCGGGTAAAACCAGCCTCCCATGGGAGAGGCCATGGGTGATATCAGAACAGGCTGGATCAGACAGACGAGGTCCTCTCCTCCCTCCTTGTCCTCATCTCACAGGCTCCAAGCTGACAGCACCCACCAGCTGCCCTCCCTCTTCCACTCCAGCCCCAGAGGTCACCATCCCCTTGCAAGCCCTGGCAGTCTTGGCAAGCCCTGAGTCAGCAACTCCCTTTCTGCATTCCTAGAGAACTAGCCTGAAGATGGGAGGTTTCCTGCCCCGAGCCCCGGCTCCTACCCCCTTGTGCTCCTGGTGACATGACAAGCCACCTGGAGGCTGTGGATCCTCACCTGACACTATCTGGCTGCCCTGGGTCCCTGAAAGGCAGCAGACCCTCCAGCCATGGCCCCATTAGGAAGGAGTCAGCGCCTTCTTCTCCTCACCCTTTCACTGCCCTGGCCCCAGCCACTGGAGAAAAGAGCTGTGTAGTAGCAGACTGGGCCAAGACATCTTGACACCAGAGCAGCTGGGATGATGAGGGTGGCTGAGAGTCCATGGCCCAGAGGCTCGGTGGTCTAGGCTAAAGGGGGTGCCTGGTTCTGGCCTGGGGCTCTCTGAGCAGCCCTTCCTGTCTGCCTGCCACACAGCCCCAGGATGACTACTGGGTCCTGTTTGGAAGACACTTCCTATGCAGACGGCTATTCCTCCTCCTCAATGTGGCTCAGAGGTACGTGGTGGCTTGTATGAGCCCAAGAAAAAGTGACGCTGCCTGTGACCACCATCCTCAACGACACACAGGGCAGGACAGCAGAGGATGCTGGATTAAACAGACATTTCCTCTCTCCACTGGGCTCCTGGGTTTTACTTCTCCAGACCCTCTCCCTCTCTCCAAACAGGGCAAATTGGGGAGCTGGGAGGAAGGTGGCCGATTTGGCCCCAGTGGGTGATCACTCTTTCAGCTCAGGTTTCTGGCTTGAAATGAGACTCTGCATTGAACACAAATCATACTTTATTCTTGAGCCGCTTGGTCAGGCTTGATCTACACTCCCCTCTCCTGCAGTGACTCCCCGTGGAGCCCTCTCACAGCTCAGAGCGAAGCTGAGGCTGCAGCCTGCCATCTCTCTCTGCATAGTCTGCATCAAGCGCCCATTCTGCGCCACGTGTGTGGTTTTCCAGTCCCCAGCCATGCCTGGGAGGAAGGCAGGGCGTGCTTCGAGTCTCATCCCAGGAGGCCCCAGTGCCTATGGGGAGGCTCCAGCCGCTGCTCCCACCCACCCCAAACCCCCGTGCTGGCCGGCACCTACCTTTCCTCGCGAAGGGGGAGATGCTGTGGTCCAAGAACTCCCTGGGGGACGGTGGTGTAGTTGGTCAGGGTTCTTCTTCATCTCCTTGAATGACGGGGTGCTGAACCAAGAGGTCCACGGTCTCTCTGGCAGGAGCGCCCCCACAAACTCCAGGATCTTCCGACCCCCTCTTTTGGGGTTCTGAGGAGCAGAGGCTCCTCAGTGGAGGTAGGTTTGTTGATTCAGGAAAATAAAAGGGGTCCTCTCTAACCTCAGAGGGAAACTGGCCACTCTACCAGAAAACCCACAGAGCCAGCTCACTCCCCGGGCCCCGGTCTCGGGATAAAATGAATTGCTCTCTGCCCTGTGATCCCATCATGAGCTGGGCTTGGCTCTCATGGGTGAGGACCGGGATGACTTCTTCCGTGACTGTGGCCTCTGGGTGGCAGCACCATTGGCAGGGAGAAGGAATCGGAATAGAGGAGCTAACCCATGGAGGGTGACTATGGTCCAGGCCTGCACTACCAACACTTTGGGAGGCTGAGGCAGGCGGACGACCTGAGCTCAGGAGATGGAGACTCCACCTGGCCAACATGGCAAAACACAAAATTAGCCAGGCGTGGCAGTGTGCATTTGTAATCCCAGCTACTCAGGAGGCTGAGGCAGGAGAATCACTTGAACCTGGGAGGGGGAGGTTATGCTGAGCTGAGATCACACCACTGCACACCATCCTGGACAACAGAGCAAGACTGGGTCTCAAAAAAAGCAGCTGATCCAGGTCACCGATGCAGCTTGACCAGGCACAGGAGAGATGAGAGCTGTGTGACCCGCCTGCCAGGTGGGGCTGTATCGGGAGGCCTGGGGCCAGGGCTATGGGATGGGGAACTGGCTCAGGCAGGGGGCCACCCAGGAGGTGGCTGGGTGGCCTTGGCGGGTCCCTGTGAGGTGCCTGCCCTCAGGTGTCACATGAGGGGAAGCATCACAGGTGGTCTCAATTTCCTCTGTGTCTTCAGAAGAGGTAGAGAACAGGTGGGTGTGGTGGCTCAGCTCCCACCACTCCTGCACGTGCTGGTACCAGGACCCGTAGGACACTGAGAAGGGCAGGGGCAGCGCACAGGTTACTGCATTGCAGCCAACACACCTTTTGGCTCCACACTCTCCTTCTCCCACAAACCTACCTTCTCCAGCCATGAACTTCTCCAGGAAGCTGTCCCAGGTCTCAGGCTCAGGGTGTACCTTGGCCATGGTAGAAGTGGTAGTAGATCGCCACGCCTTGCGCTATGGGCAACATAGACCACACCTGCGGGGCAGAAGACTCGACCCCAGCACCATCACCACACAGCCCGCCACAGGCCAGCTCATCTCTTGGTTTGGCAAAGGAAGAACCTGAGGCTTAGAGGCTGACTTGCTTGAGATCTCATCGCACTGTAGGGCCAAGCTGGATCTGATCCTGCTTGGAAGCCAAACCCTGCCTGGTCCCTGAGACCACTGCGTATTCTAAAGTAATATAATCTGCATCAATGCGCTTACACTCGATCTGGAGCAAGGCATGCTCCATCAGGCATGTTCCCACCACTACTAAAATGTTGTGGATGCCTGTGAGGAATTCCACCCTCTACCTTTCTTAGATCTACACTGAGGTCTCAAGTGTTCCTTGGTCATCAGAGCAAGAGGCAGACAGTCCCCCCGGGCCGCGAAGATGAGACAAGGCTGGAGGGAAGTGAGGCACTTTCCTGGTGAAGAATATACCAAAGCTGGGCTGAGGCGGCCTCCTTCCTCTGATCTTACATGCCCTACACCTACCTGGACTCTTGATTTTTCTGTTTGTTGTGTGTGTTGTGGATTTCTTTTTTTTCTTTTTTTTTTTTTTTTTTGAGACTCTATCTCAGGAGCTCCTGAGCTCTGAGATTCTGTCTCAAAAAAAAAAAAAAAGACCTTGGTCTTTCTTTGTCCCTGTCGGCCCAGGTTGGAGTGCACTGAGTGATATCACTGCAACCTTTGACCTCCCAGGCTCAAGCAATCCTCCAGCCTCGGGATTCTGGAGTACCTGGCACTGCAGCGCCATACCACCATGCCCTGCTGATATTTTGCATTTTTATAGAGATGGAGTCTCCCCATGTTTCTGGGCTGGGTCTAGAACTCCTGAGCTCAAGCGTTCCACCCACGTTAGCCTCCCAAAGTGCTGACATTACAGCAGTGAGTCATCACAGGCGGCAAACCTTTTTTAATATTTATTTGTTTGAAACGAAGTCTCGCTCTGTCGCCCAGGCTGGAGTGCAGTGGCATGATCTCAGCCTACTGCAACCACTGACTCTCAGGTCAAGCGATTCCCTGCCACGTCAGCATCCTGCTAGCTGGGATTATAGGCGCCTGCCTCAACGCCATTAATTTTTGCATTTTTAGTAGAGATGAGGTTTCTTCATGTTGGCCAGGATGATCTCGAACTCCTGACCTCGGGGTGATCTGTCCACCTCAGCCTCCCAAACTGGCTGGTATTACAGGTGTGTGAGCCACAACAGGCCCAGCTCTGTTTTTTTTTTTCCTTGAGACAGCTCTTTTTTACTCATGTTTCCCAGGCTGCAGTGCACGGTGAGGTCTCGGTTGACTGCAACCTCTGCCTCCCGGGTTCAAGCAATTCTCCTGCCTCGGCCTCCCAAGTGGCTGGGATTACAGATGTCCGCCACCACACCTGGCTAATTTTTTGTATTTTTAGTAGAGATGGGGTTTTGCCATGTAGGCCAGGCTATCTCGAACTCCCAGTCTAGTGATTTGCCTGCCTAGCTAAAGTGCTGGGATTACAGGCATGAGCCACTGCGCCTGCCGGCCCCTCTTTTTATTCCTCATCTTTTTGAGACAAGGTTTCTCTGTCACCCAGTCTGGAGCGCAGTGGTGTGATCATAGCTCACTTCACTCCTGAACTCCCAGGCTCAGGTGATCCTCCCACCTCAGCCTCCTCAGTAGCTGGTACTCACAGGCACACTCATTATGCATACTGATTTTTTTTTGGACGAGACTGGTCTGGAACTTGGCTTCAAGGATCTTCCCACCTCAGCCCCCAAAGTGCTGGGATTACGGATGAAACACTGTGCCAGCCCCACCTTGACCTTCTGATCCAACAGAGTCTGGGGCAGCAGGGCCAGGGGCAGGTGTGTCTTCTGGTGGAGCCGTGGGGGCCGGAAAAGCCTTTCAGGAGTCTCCATCCCTGAGCAGTGGGTCAGGGAAGGTCTGGTGAGCTGAAGCTCTGTGCCCTGTCTTCCTCCTCCCCTTTGCACTCCAGGACACGGTCACACACCTGAGGGAATCCCTGGGCTTGAACTCAAGGAAGGGCACCTGCATGAAGATGGGAGTCGGGCGACACTTCTCCAGGTCACCACCTTGGTAGATCATGTCCAGACCCGGCTCACCCAGGTAGTCCCTGGAGAGGGAGGAGATGGGAGGAGCAGGCCGCAGGCACAACCTCGCTGGCCAAGGTGGGGACTGGGCGCCAGGAGAGGGTGGTGGCCCTCCTCACCTACCACAGACTTGGGTAGGTGCTGATGAGCAGGTCATCGGGCCGGGCCCGGAAGCTCTGCAGGGGTCCCAGTGCCTCTGCAAAGTACTTGATGAGCGGAACCCTCTCACGTACTCCAGTGGCGAAGTAGAGGTGTCCTGGATCAGCTCCACAGCCTGCCAGGGGCCAGAGCCAGGCCTGTTCCCTTAACACCATCACAACAGCAAGAAAGTGCATTCTTGATTTCCAGGAAGTCACTGGGGCTCTAGGGGAGGCTGGAGTGACTTACCCACACTCACAAAGCCAGTCAGTGACAGGGCTGGGGCTGAAACCAGGTCAACCTCTAATGCGGTGGTTCTCAGCCTGGCCACACTTTTGATTCTACCTGCAGAGCTGTTCAGAATCCCAGGGCCTGGGCCACGGTGCAGACCAGTGAAAGCACTCGTGGCGTCGGGCCCAGATAGCAGGGTGTGTGACTTGCCCCAGAGTCCAGCTGCACTGAGGAAGCTCTAGGCCTGGCCGTGCTGTCTCTACCAGCCAGTGCTCCTTTGTCTTACTATTTCCTACTGTAACCCCCAGCCTCCACCAGGCCTGTCCCTGATACTCCCCTCCTTGAGTTCCCTGTGCCCCTCACATGTGGAAACCTCCCAGGCTGACCAGGCCTGTGATCCACTTGCCCGGCCACAGTCCATCCAGTCTCCAGGACAAACACAACCCATTGAGCAAACTGGGAGCTGGTACTAGGGGCCCGAGCCTGCTGTGGGAATGAACAAAACTGATGACTCAGCAAAAGGACGAGCCCAGGCAGGGTGGTTCCCGCCTGTAATCCCAGACCCTAGGAGGCCGAGGCTAGGAGTGAGACTAATCTGGGCAGCATTGCAAGACACCATCTCTAAAAATCTTTAAAAAATGTTTTAAAAAATTAACCAGGCAGGATGGTGAGGGCTCATTGTCCTAGCTTACTCCAGAGAGGCTGAGGCAGGAGAATCACTTGAGCCCAGGAATTAAAGGCTGCAGTGGCCAGGATCCCACAGCACTCCAGCCTGGGTGACAGCATGACCTGGCCTCCCAGAAAAACAAAAAAGCAAGGGAGGGGGATTCACGGCGGCCGGGGTTGTCTGAAATGCGATACCCATGGGGAAAGGGCAGGATGGAGAGGCTCCTGGCCTGGGAATGTCGGAGCCAGAAGCTGAGCAGGTGAGGCGCCTGGGCAGTGTGTCACCCACCTGAGCTCTCAGAACCTGGCCTTGTGCCTCCCTGCCGCAGTGGCTGAGTGTGGGTGCAATGTGGGGAATGCAGGGGTGTTGTCTGTGCTGAGGGTTTCGTAGGTCCAGTGTGAGGGATCTGTTAGGTCGGATTCTAGATATGCTTCCCGAAGGAAGGGGTTGGTGGAGGAACTTCTCCATTACCTCTTAGTATGCCAGCTGAGCAAGCGAGTGATTCCCAAAGCTACGATCAGTTTGGTGTGTAGAAACAGAAGAATGAAAGGGAGAAAGGGCCTCAATGGTTTGTTTTTGGTTTTTTTAGCTGTCACGGGGCACCTGATCTGCCTCGCCAAGCAGGCCAACAGACAAGCTTTTCTAATTGACTCCAGGCAAGAGAGGAGGGATTGAGGAGAAAGATGGGATAGGTAGGACCAGGAAAGGTCACCTACCTGCCAGCTCCAGGCCAATCTTGAAGGCGCCAGGGTTCTGACCCAGTGCAGCCCACAGGCTCCCAGCAGCCCATGCACTCCAGGCCTGACCACAAGGCCAGTCTGGAGTGATGTGTGGGCAGAGTGGAAGGGGCAGGAGAGAGTTAAGAGCATGGATGCATAGGAACAAGAGAAGAACAAGGATAATGCAGTCCTCTTGCCCTGGGAGCCAGCTTTCAGCTTCATGGCTCCCAGGGACTTTCCAGAGCATCAGTAGAGGATCCTAGATGAACCACAGCTCCTGGCAGGTACCTTCTTTCCTGGGTTTGAAGGAGGCTCCACAGAGAGGCTGGAGGAAGTTGAGGCTTGAAGCCACAGGGCTCCTGTGGAAGGAGGGCATCCTCATCCTCCTTGCTCCTTTGTCCTCACTATTTAAAGCCCCAGGGTCAAGCTGGGAAAAGTAGACAGGTAACTAACTATCTTTGAGTAAGGTGAGTCTCCCAAGCCTTCCAAGAGCTGCGTGAGCTCAGAGGCAAGTGGGGAAAGCTGAGGCATGGGGCTTCCAGGCAGAGGAGAGGCTGCTCTCTTGCTAGGCTACAGGCCCTCCTTCCCTCCTCTGTGCCTCTGGAGGAATCCCCTTGACTGGCAGGTCTCGCTACTAGCTCCGCCTCTGCCTCAGCAACCTTCAGGAGGCCCTTGACTCAGACTCCTTTGCATTGCACTCCAGTAACAACGGGTCGGACTACACGGGTAAGTACATAAAGAGGAAAAGAATGTGAGATTAATAGAGTGGTAAAGTGAATAGAAAATCCCAGGCAGCAGTTTCATGACCAGAAGGAAATTTGAAATAGTTGTAGACAAGTGCTAAGGCCAATAAGTCCCTGAAAAATAAGATGAGGACCAAGCTGGCTACGACCAACCAGACACAACATGGCGCTGTATTTGATGTAGGTTTCACTCTAGGATCTCACTGCACGACCAAAATATAGGAAACTACATACCCAGTGCAAGAGACGGCTCCAGGAACACCTGGATTTGGTGCAAATTGTGGCACTACGGTCTTGGAGAAATCTTTCCGTTTCCTGAATTCCTGAATATACTTCCTCTTTAGCAAAGAAGCCTACAAAAGTCAGTCCCAAACTCGTAGGGCATGAGACACTCTCTCTTGAGGACTCCCACATTCCCTTCTTGAGTGAGTCCTTTTGCTCTGCAAGAAATCTCCCTACATTCATGACTTTCTGATTTGTCCTTAAATTCCTTCTACATGTGTGGTTCACAGCCTGGAGACTGGATCTAGATGGATATCCCACCGGCCCTGAGGACTCCTCAGGCCACCAGTATCTGGAGGGGGTTAGGACACTGAGGATCAGGTCTCCCTGGAGGGCTTAGTTCCAGTGTGCCTGCAGAGGCAAAGGTTGGTCACAGGCAGCTCAGGCAGGAGTCAGAGATAGGAGGCCAGGGCCAAAGCCCACTCATGTCTTCTAATTCTGAGTCTTCTATTTCTTCGTGCCCATATCTGGCACAGCCAGATCAGGTCACCAAAGCAGTGACATCTCACAGCTAAAAGGCATGTGGGGCCGAGAGAGATAGGCAGAGTCAGGCATCACAAGCTCCCTCCAGGCTCAGCCCTGATCACCAAGATCAGGACTCGGCTGCCCTGGCCTGGATTGCACAACTGGGCACCCTCTCTTCCTCAGAGCTACCCAGGCTGGGGCTGGGGACTGCACTCACTCAGGTACTGGCCCTCTAGGGCAGAAGCTGCCCTGGTTCTTCCTGAAGGAACTCCTCTGACAGGCAGATCACATGGGCTCTTAGCCAGCAGCCAGGGTTGTGGCAACACAAGGGCCCCTCTTCATCCCATCCCAGGCAGCAGGCAGGTAAGAGACAAGGAGGGAGAGAGGGAGCGGGCGGCAAGCCCTCCGCAGCAGGCACTGTTCCGCATCACACAGCTCCATCCTTGAGGAAGGGGGTGACTGTTATTTGCATCTTGGCGGATGAGGAAATGGACGTGGGGGCGAAAATCCTGCCTCGGACTAAGTGCCAGTGAACGCCCTGTGAGCATCAGCAATGATTGATTGAGTCACAGTTTCAATTACTGCAGCCAGACCTGAACTTCCTCAGCTCAGCAACACTCCAGCAGGTCACTGAATTTCTCAGGTCAAGTCCTCTACTCACAAGTAGCGGGAGCTCAGTAGAAGGCGCCCATCGTCCATTATTTTATTGATCATTTCTTGCCATGGTCTCTGTGCTGAACTTTGTTCTACAGCAGTGACAAGAGCTGTCCTCGGGCAGTTTAGTGCAAAGGTTGGGGTGGGAGAGACTAACGAGAGCAATAAAACACCTAGCAGGTCAGATAATGACTAATGAGAGCAATAAAACACCTAGCAAGTCAGATAATAAGTATTCAGGAAAAGGAGCAGACGGGAACTACTCAAGAGGTGCAATTTTATTTTTATATTTTAGAGATGGTGTTGCTCTTTTGCCTGGGCTGTAGTGCAGTGGAGCGATCATAGCTCACTGCAGCCTCCAACTCCTGGGCTTGGCCATCCTCCCACCTCAGTCTCTCGTGAGCTGGGACTACAGGCATATATGCCAGCCAGGCCCGGCTTATCAGAGCTGCAATTTTAAATCGAGCCAGAGAAGACTCCTGTTCAGGTGGCAGGTTATCAAGACAGAAGGTGTAGAGAAGAACCTTCCCCAGTCAAAAGGAAAAGGCAGGTCCTGCTGCTCTCAGAATACAGAGTATTTATCATCCCCATCTTAGAGACGGGACAGGGTCGCAAATTGTCAGGGCGTTTCCTGGTTCTCAACAAACAGCTGATCCGGTTGTCTGGATGGTCGATCATCGATGGAGCTCTCCGTGCCTGGGGCGATTCTCCCCGGAGCACGCGGGAGCTCAGGCGACAGGCCTCTAGGTTCCAGGGTCCGCTTAGGCTCAGGCTGGGCGCTGGCAAAGGGACTCGCGCGGCTTCCTGGGGCGGAGGAGGTCCGAAGGCCAGTGGCCAGTACGGTGTGCCGGGCGGAGGTAGGGGTGCAGCAGGAGCGGAGGCGCGCCCACGGCGGGGGTGCCAGCCCACTCCAACCGCGGCAGGGTACGGGGGCATCAGGGTATACCCTGGCAGGGTCGCACCTCAAATCCCCGACCAATAGCGGCCGCCGGCTCTCCTTCCTTTACCCGCCGAAGGGTTGCCACGGCGGACAGGAAGCTGTGCACTATGAGCGCGCCCATCTCCTGGGGAGGAGAACGGAATGTCTCCTGGGAGTCCTGCCGTTTCACCGCGGTCCTCCAATCCCACCTGGAAAGTGAGGTCCTCATTCCCGCCTCAGCAGAGCCCCAGGCTCCCGCCCCCTGCCTGAAGTCACGCCCTGCACTTGCCCACCCCAGGCCCTCCTCCAAACCTCCACACGTACCTCCACCTGTCCCCACTCCTCCTCCTGCGCGCCATCGGACTCCCAGCGTGCCCACTCAAGACTTCTCTATGCTGACTGCAGCCTGATCATCACCCCGCCCCAGCCCGCCTCCTTCCCGGAGTTCCACCGCCGAGATTCCTAGGGCTCTGTCACACTACTCCTCTGCAACAGGCCTCTCCTCCCAGACGCCCCACTCCTTGTCACAGGCCTGGAGGGTCCCTCCATCAGGCTTGTGTCTTCGCGGGGTCCGCCTCTCTCCAGGAAGCTTCTTCCGTCTCGGAGACCCTCCCGGTCTCACCAGGCGTGCAATGGCGCGATTCAGCTTGCTGCACCGACGTCCCGACCCCCCGGGCTCTAGCGATTCTCCTGTCTCAGTCTCCCAAGTAGCTGGAATTACAGGTTCGTGCCACCATGCCCGGCTAATGTTTGTATTTTTATCAGAAACGGTCACCATGTTGGCCAGGCCAATGGGCTACCAGCTGACCTCAAGTCATCTGACAGCTTGGGCTTCCTAAAGTGCTAAGATTACAGACGAGCATTGCCCGGCCTGGGCCTTGTCTTTGTGCGGCCCCCATTGTGCTGCTGGACCTTGAGAAGCAGGCTGACAGCGAACCCCATGTAGACGCGCCCGGTGACGGGGTTCAGGCAGTAGAGCAGGTAGACTCCCTGCTAGCGCTCTCCACCTCTCCGCGACTTCTATGGGATTCTTCCAATTTCAGGAAATTCTCATTAAATACACTTCTGGGTCAGCACTGACATGAGGAAGAGAACCTGACCAGCACCTCGGAACCTGCTTTGTCCCTCCCTGGTTCCTCCCTCTGGGTGCCCACTGTGCTGCCGTCTCACCCATCTGTAGTTCAGCACAGCAGCCCTGTAGGACACCTGGCCGATTGGTCACAGTCCTGCTGGGCCCTCAGGCTCACTCGGAACTAGGGCTCCAGGGCCTCTCTACAACCCAGCAGCATGCCAGGTCAGGGCCAGCACCTGTCCCTGGCCTCAGGCCTCCCTTCCTTCCTACAGCGCCAAGATCTCAGGTCTCTACAATGACTTGAGCCACCTCAAAGACCAGCAGGTGGGGGCACATGACTCCCG